TTCGAGAAAATTCAATAAAAATCCACCAACTGGAAAGCAGATTTGGACATGGCACAAAAAATTCAAAGAGGAAGGCTGTCTGTGCAGGGCAAAGGGATCTGGATGACCACCAGTATCGGAAAATATTACATTTGTGAAGCTTTGTGAAATCGGTTATAAAATCTACGTCCCTCTGAATTTCTCATTTGAATTTTGATAAATTAACTTTGCATTGTTCAACATGGAGCCTATTTAATTTCGTTTGCATAGGACTCAGATATTCACATCTCAAATGACGTCAATTTCTTTGGGACACCCTGTACATCAAACATTATGTGATTTCTAGCTAACTATGCTAAAAGGCCTATCAAACGATACATGTTGCTTCATTCAGAATAACTGCGCTGATCAAGATTTATCGTATGTTTACAAAGTTGTTTGTTGGGATTATTTAGCTGATAATGAAATGCTTTACATTTGTTTGGAAACTGCCGCATGTGACATTACTAACTAGCAACGCAGAGTGTGTTTGGAGCAGGTGTAGACTTCAGAACTAATTTTGCAGCATGATGAAGTCCTTGTCCCCTGCGTGCACCGAACTATGCTCTAAAGTGTTTCAGGGTTGAGAGTCAGAGTTGAGAAGGAGACGATCACAACTAAAGTTGACTGAGAACTGGTTTAAGAAACTGTAACTCATAGACAGAAATAGGCAGAAATGCATTGTAGACGGTATTCTGAAAAAGCCAACAGTGGTTTGTTCACTGTCTGATCAAACAACATGACTAACCGTGAAATGATGACACTGTAACATTCCTAATCATGAGTAACACTGTTTTGATCTTTGACAGTCCAAGTAAAGTGGGCATAGAGAAATGTCTAGCTCTGATGCTTGTTCACCTGTTCCCCTACCTCACCAGGTTTAGCTGGTGAAAAAGCACTCAAGGTGGTAAGAATCAAAAATCTTCCGTTGTCTATTTTTCCAGCTCCGTCCAGCATTTGGAGATGATGGGGTGATCTACAGTTCTCTGATTCACAAGTAAGAGGTGCGAGAGACTCAGCCTGAAGGTCAAAATACAACAGCTGAGGTAGGTTATGGCACACACTGAAAAATAGATAAATGAATAAAAGAATTATGTAAATTAGGAATCAGCTCTGTAGTAGGGGTTGCATCCACTAGCCAGTGCTGTGGGCAACTGTTGACTAGTTGAAGACAGTCCCTGAAAAACAGTAGTTGTAAAAACTGCAATGAAGCGTCAGGAGGAAAGGACAGAAATCAGTTTTTCTGTTAAACACAAAGCCTAAACTTCTATTAGTGTGTAAATACTGCATAAAATGAAACTGGTTCCACTGCAAACAGAGTAATACTGCACTGAAATACAGGTTTGTAAGCCAAACTTGGACTACTGGTCAGCAACCAATCAAGGATATCTTGCTTACTTGCTACCTACTGTTTCAAACACAATTCATGAATATTATTTTAAAATTCAGCGATTAGGACTACATCTCGCTTGGAAAAGCTCATTGTTTCCCACTGGACATCGCATTGAAACATATTACATCAACACAATCATTGCCAAAGGTGAACTAAACGACTAAATTGTGTTTATGTAATAGATTTTATTCAAGTGGAAATTATGTACACATTTGAATTAAGTAAATTCAGTACATTACTTCAGTACTTTTTCTGTTCTTTCTGTCTTGATTAAAGGTGTAAGCAGATGTATTTCTGGACAACATGCTTGACCAGAGCTTTTACAAAGAAGATTATAAAGCAAGTGACCAAACAAATGGGATTTAGACTGTATATGAGATGCAACCCTTTGGCCTAACTGAAGAACAGAAGAGGAAATGATCAAGAACTTCTTGTGCCATTTCAGCATTGGAATGTCATACTTACAGTTGTAAACAAAAGTTTCGGACCCCTGGTCAAATTACATATTTTGTTGATTTTTGAACTGAAAAGTTTAAACACAACCTGTTTTAACAATAATATTTCTATGAAAATGTAAATGCACATTTATTTTATATTTTATTAAATAAATAATTTAATTAATTAACTTAAAAATTAAATAGTCATTTCAGCATGTGCAAAAATTTGAACATCCTACTAAGTCAGTTCTTAGTAACACCTGCTTTGGCAGATATCACATCTGTAGCCAGCTACTCAAAGATATTTAATGATAAGGCCAGGGAACTGTGACGGCCCTTCAACTACCCATGCAATGTTTCACTCACCACTGATGCCACTCCACACCAAAGCATAATAGATTAACCCCATGCTTAACAGGCAAGGTGGTCTTTTCATCAAATGCTGCAAATCTCTTTTTCTCCAACATATTTTTTGGTGATCGTGACCAAAGAGTTCCATTTTTAGTGCTTCAATCCACATCACTTATTTCCAGAATGCTAAGGTTGCAGGTAAGGTTTCCTTGTGATGTAGATCATGTTTGTGTATGCAATGCCGCACAGTAGAACAGTACACCACCACTCATGTCAACTAAACCTTCTTGCAGGTCCTTCACTGTCATATGGGGGTTTTGCTTTGCCTTTCTGGCCAATATCAGAGAGTTTTCCTGGTCTTCCAGATTTTGTCTTGACTTCCACAGTACTCTTTGACATTTCAGGTAGTGTAAACTGCAAGCTGGAAGCATTCAGTTGCAGGACTGCACAGTCTGCCAGCAAGCCACAGAGTGCCATCAATGTTCATTAATGTTGATTAATTTGTAAAATGATCTAATAATCACCATTTTCTGTTTTTAACATGTGATTTGTCAAAGGACATAGACTGCCACTAGATTGGTACAAGGTGTGGATTTGATTTTTTAAAAAAGAGTTCCACTGAAAAAAAGCCTGAACGATCTAATGAGCCAAAGACTTAATAGTCTTGAATTGACCAAATTGACCAAAATGGACACAAAACTGCCCTGCAAAAATATTCCTATATATTTTCCACCTACTGTGCACATTCTCTTAATTGCAGCTGCTTTTAACATCACTGCATTTTTGAGGTTTACCCATTTTCTCAGAGGTTTTGAGCAGAGTTAATTATCTTTATATTTAAGATGGTGATGAGATATGACGTGTTGTTTTGTACACTGCAGTTCTCTGTCCAGAGTGCTGTAGCGCAGGGTTTCTCAGCCACTGGGCTGTGGATCACAACTGGGCTGCAAAGCTCCCTCTGGTGGTCCTTGGGCCAATATAGCCTCCTGAGACCCAGAACATTTTCAAAAAAACTTTTTATTTTTATGTACTGTCCATAAATAAGTGGACAACAGGATGTTGCATAGCAATTATGTTGATGTCATATTTCTTGTTTCCTATTCTGCATCAGACCAATTTTCATTTCTTCATTGGGTTTGCTTTAACAGACAAAAACACATTAATGTTTTGGCTACACTGTAAGAGTGTTACTAGTTAAAACATTCCAAACCTCAGTTTGAGGTTGGACAGATTGTCTGATAAATGGAGTTGAACCCATTGCCTAATAAGTGGAAGGAAGTGGACTGCAATAAAACCACAAAGCCACTCTACTTGTGGTCCCCACCCAGATAGCAAATGTACTGACTGAAACAATGCTAGTATGATGTTGGACAAAACCATTAAATTAATGTAAATCTCTGATGTTGAATTTATTTCAATCTTTTTTATTGGCTATTCAAAATCCTCAACATTGGAAAATCAGCTATGTTGAACATTCATCCAACATTGATTCAATAATACTCGTTAATGGTTGAATAGCCATTAAGTTAATCTAATGCCAGTACTGATGTTGATTTCATGCTGAAATAATGTTTACTCTATAGTTGAATCATGTTAAAAGAACAGTAAATTCATTTTTTTTGGTATTTACAAAATACAACAGACCTTACTTACCCCTACACACTCAGAAAAAAGGTACTAAACTGTCACTGAGTCAGTATCTCTCTTGTCACTGGGGTGGTACCCTCAAGGGTAATGTTTTCACAAGCTTTAGTTGGGGGACATAATTATTTCCTATCCATTTCCTATCTATTTTTTCAATCATTAAGCAGTCACCAGAAAAAAAAAAAACAGTTGTTCTACTGTCTTGTGTGAGCGGTTAAGCATTATGATAAAAATCTGGGTGGTTACTAGTTTGAGTCTGATGATGCTCCATTTAGTAATTAGTGTTTCTTGCTGTGATTGGCTGATTTGCAGTGAAAGGGAGTGAACGTGCGCTTAAGCAGTGCTACTCTATGTTAATTTACTTTTTGACAGTCATACGTTCATGTGTTGTAGGTTAGATTCCACCTGTGGAATAAATTTGTGCTAAAGCTAGGGCAGCCTTTTCTCTCATTATGTTCCCTTGTACTGTGCTGTCCGGCTAGATTTCTAATCATTAGACTCATATATAACAAGAGCTTAAATGAATAACACCTATGGCCTATGTGAAACTATTTTCTCAAAGTTAACACTGTTCAGTATACTTTCAGCAATAATTGTGTTGATGTATTTTTTTTATTTATGTATAAATAGTGGACAGATTTAGTTATTTACAGATAGAAAACAATGCCTCAATTTTATGTAATTTTATAGCATATGTATTTTATAGTATCACTATTTTATTTAGTTCTTTTTTCCTAGCAGCATGCTACCCCAATAAAATCTCTAGATCAAACCTGGTCACCTCATTCTAAAAGTTCTAGCAATGCTCCTGGCTGACATCTAAAACAGAGCATTAGTGGCAGGTGAGTGGGAGAATTTAGAGACTTTTATTAAATAATGACAAAAAATGTACTTGTTTCCCCTCACTTTATTTCCCCAGTGTCTGTACATGTAGAACATCAAGGAATCTACACAAGAGAAATGATGACAGAGCTTCTATGGGCAGTGGATGGGTTTTAAAGCAGCTGAAATAGTGAGACTGTCATTGTGTCAGCATTTCTCTCAGTATATTATTTTGGCTATTAGTCAATACTGTGAATACCCAGTCAATGTTCGTTCACTCTAGCATGTCAGCACAGTAAGAGGATTTCACTTGGCTGTTTCAGCACCCGTATCAACACAGAGACGAGGAAGTTAGAATTACAGAATTTCGTTCAACACAAAAACGAGTCATGAACTACTCTTTGATTTTCATGTTCTTCATTCAAAGTAAGTTGAGATTTTACTGTTTTGGCAAATTACATTTGATATTATTGTGTGTATAATATATGGTGTATAAATGCCTATACTGAGTTAAAAACTATTTTTGATCTGTTTTCTAAACAGATACTGTTGGCAGGAGGCAGTTATCTCTTCAAACTGGAGCATCGATTACCATCCCATGTCATTATGATATAAAATATGTACAACATAAGAAGTACTGGTGTTATAATGCTGGGGCAGCATTTAATTACTGTAGGATTCTGTCATATGGAAATACCACAAAAGATAGAGTAACAGTGACTGATTATCCAGCTCAGAGTCTCTTTACTCTGACTATGAGAGATCTGCAGAGTGGAGACACTGGCATGTACTGGTGTGCTGTGGAGATCGGAGGAATAACTGAGCTAGATGATCATAAAGATCTTTATCTCACAGTACAGTCAGGTAGTAGATTATAAACAGCAAATTCTAACTAGGGGCTTGTATTTGGTTTACTAAGTGGTACTTCACATTGCTTACAATTCATCCTGGAATCATTCCTGATCTGTCTGTCTTTGTCTCCAGATCCTAATCTATCTGTGGTGGAGAGAAGAGTGAGTGGTCAGGAAGGAGGCAGTGTCAGTGTCCAGTGTCTCTACAGTGCTGTGTATCAGAAAGAACAGAAGCAGTGGTGCAGATCTAAAGACTGGAGCTGCTACACAGTGGGGAGGACTAACACATCCCAGAATTCAGCAGTGCAGATCAGTGATGATGGGAGAAGATCCTTCAGTGTGGAGATGAGTGGACTGCAGCAGAGTGATGCTGGCTGGTACTGGTGTAAAACTGGAGATCTACAGATTCCTGTTCATCTCACAGTCAGAGAGGCAAATTCAGGTACTATCACTGCCACTTATTATTATTATTATTATTATTATTATTATTATTATTATTATTGTCAGTTGTTTCATACAAAATGTAACCAAGCAAGTTGTGAAAGACTGCTTTACAAACATATTTGTCAATATTTAAAAGAGACGAAATACTCTTTTTTTGGTGGGGGCATAAGCACAGCTTAGTAGCAGTTCATTATTATACTTGGGGTGCAAGCCAATTTTTTCCTGTTACTATGTGTGAAACATCATATAATTAGCAAAAGAAATTAAATATTTAAAAAATACTACTAGCCTCTTCATTACATAGGGGCAGATTTACTAAGAGAGGTGCGAATTACTGAAATACTACTGACACTTTGTGCTGGTGGCCAATTTAGCTGAACAAGTACTTCCAGGAACTTCCAGGCAAATGAAAACAGGTGCAATGTTATAATTAACAAGTGAAGTGCAATGTAACCATTTGTTTGGCTCACATGCCTTTTCTAACAAGGCCTATTTCCACCAGGTTGTAGAAAATATTTTTTTCTTTCTTGTTCATATTAAAACTGTGACTCATTAGGTTGAAATAATGACTTATTTTCTCAGCATAAGTATGAATAATAAATATAAAGTGGAAAATTTTGAGGTATTACTCATAAAGTATGTGGTATGTATTCCAACATGTTATATAAGTAAGACATTGTTTCAAAACAATATGGCATAAATTTGAGAGAATAAGTGAGAACTTTGACTTTCTGTTTTAAAACACGTTCATTTTCAGCAGGTTAGATGAGCTGAACTTGAGTCATGCACTGAGTGCATTTGGAAACGTGAAATTGTAAACTCCCTGTTTAATTTCACTGAAGACAACCAGGTTGTTTGGGATTGTGTGATCGTATGATTGTTTGTGATTACCTCTCAGCTACATCCAGTACAACAAATAATGGCTGGGTCTGTCACACTGCACACAAACCAGAGTGCATATAGAAGCCACAGACTTCCAATGTGTGCACACACAAACATTAATTTTAAACTTGGACTAAATCAATATTTATCTGTTAATCCAGTTCTATCAAACTTTAACCTAGTTTTAAAATCATCAAGGTTACATTTAATCCATCATTTTAATACTAGTTTACATTTAAAGAAAAGCCCTAGATTAAATTTATCCCTTTACAATCCCAGGCTTTTACATATTAGGGCTTATTATTCAATAACTACATGGACTAAAGTGCAAACTGCACTTATTATTTGCTAATCATGTACTGGCTAACATTTTTGAGTTCAAAATGAAAAATTTAAAAATCATTTTTTCACTATGACACATTTGGTAAAGTTTCACTAGTGTTATGATTGTTTTTTAGAGACAAAATGGAATGTTCCGTCATGTATTTTACGTACAACAAAAGGTAAAAAGCCACTAAAAGCAAAAGGATTCAGTCAAAAGTCCGGGTTATTAAAGAAGGTTAAAGTGGTTCTGCTGTTGCATCGCTCTAAAAATCCTTTTTGCATTTTATTTTTTTTATATTGTTAAAGCCACAAATTATACTTAAGTACTAATTTTCTGTTTTGATTTTCTACTATTTTGGCAGCTTTTAGAGATTCTGCTGTGGAACCCACGTGAGTACAAAAATGAAACCCATACACAGTTTAGATCAGGTCAGTGTTGGCCAGTTTTAAGTGAGGATGTTACTTTTGGCCTTGTTGTTTTACCTTCTGAGCTGTGAGTAATTAAACACTAAGGTGTTGGTGCAGACTCTCAGACACCATAATATTACTGGTCTCTTTAAGTCATTTGCAGTAATATGACAGTAATATGAAGTAATAAAAGAAATTTTGCTTAATATGAGTCAGTGTTCCTCACAACCCCACTTCCTCTTTCAACTTCTTCCTTCATTTTTGAATGTAAAAAAGCATTAATGGTTAAAGTGCAACAGTAGATCTGAATGGAGATAAACCTTTACTAAACATTAGAGTCTGCCATTATGCTCCCTGATATGAAACATTACCGACTGATGCAGTTCTGACACTCAGCAGGAGCTTTTATGTACATTGTGATTAGTTTCGGCTTTGTTTATGTTGCAGAGAGCCAGTGCAGTTCTGCCTTGCACGCAACTGAATGATCCCAGACATGATCCTGGATCGAGGCATCGAGAACTTAAGAAGCTGGAACACTGTAGATGTTGTATCTGAGTTAGGAAGTAGCTTGTGTTCAGGGCAGAGCAAGAAGGGCCTCAGCCACTGACTGTCTATATTTCAACAGATTGTTTTTATTCATACGTTTATTAAAAAGTAGTGCAGTATGTACATTGCTTTACTCCAGTGCTTCATACCTTCCTGTCTTGACTACTGAAATGCTGTTTACTTTTAGTCTCTCTGCCAAAATCCTGCCAGACTACAACAAATTAAAATCTCAGCCAACAGAGTCTCACACAAACCAATCAGCTCACATCACTCCCATCCTCTTTCAACTGCACTGATTACCTCTCATCACAAATTCAATATAAATTACTCATAATGCATTGTAACCAATACTACTGCTTTGGCTGCTGTATTGTTAATGATTATGATTTGTTGATGTTTCTTTTATTGTCATATAAAATAAATTAAAGTTCTTTTTTCTGATCATTCCAGTGGTTTAAATAAGGGCTTTAAAATATCAAAAGAAGAAAAAAGCAGCAAATCTGCAACCTAAAGGCTGATTTATACACTTGCTAGATTGCGCATTGTGCGCATTGCATACAACATTACAATATTACAACAATAACAACTGAGTATTAATTCTTGGGCGATTAAAGGGAAATTCCCCCAGTTTCTGGACATTCTGGATTGGACACTGTCCCCTAGTGCACATGTTCTCAAATGCTTGCACGTGGAGCCTGTATACGTTCACAGATACACAAGCACACAAATGTATTTCAACCTTCAGGGAATATTAAATTCAGTCACTTCAGCATTTAAAATCATCCACATGCTGCAGAAACTCAACTAGCCATGCAGCAGCCCTTTCAAGGCCCCTTTTACATGCCTACGAAGGGCTCTGATCTAGGTGGAGCCACATAGTAGAGAGCTTAATAAGCGCTTTAACTACAGCAGATGTGGAAGAGTTAGCTTTTCTCTCTATATGTAGACGACTACATGATTCAGCAAACAGCTTTTGAAAACTTCTGACTTCAAGCCAGTTTAATGATGCTGGGGATGGTGGAAATTTCCATCCAGACAGCAGTCTGCAAAGTGATCGGCACTCCAGCTCTGTCAGCTGGTTGACCTCAAGGACCTCAATTTGGAGTTGAGCATTGTGAACTTAAGCATGGGCCTCATCTCTGGATCCATTAGATGCAAAAGAGAAAGGATCAACACAAGGCAGGGCTACTTCTACCTTAGCCTCAGCCCTGGACTGCTCCACAACTGCTACAACAGGAGAGGTAACAACCTTGCTCCTGGCATCATTATTCATATACACCACCATGGTCTTAAGAAGGAGATGTGATTCCGTACATTGCTGAAATATGACCATTTTGTATATATGCTAATTGGCTTTGCTTGTGTTTTTTTCCCAAGTGCTTGGTTCAGTCTGCTGAAACACTTTGCTTAGTCTAAATCTGGACCGTGGTCTGCTCTAGCACTTCATCTTTGTTCTTTTTTTCTGACCACAGCCTGCTGTTGTCTGGATATGTTTGGTACACTATTCTTAACCCAATGGTGACACTGACATGAAAACTTCATCTACACTGCAGTGCCTCTGCTGAATGATCCCCCACTTAGATAATATATCTGTCCATCAGTGGCCCATATGGTGGCCTATTTCCATTGATGGATGGGATGATGATGGATTGTGCCACAACAGATGGGCTACAGTCACTAATTGTAACCCTAGTCCACCTTTAACATTGGTACTTGACCTCTCTAATGCTCTTTTGGCTGAATATAATCAAACACTCACATCAATGTTCCAACATGTAGTGAAACGCCTTCCCCGAATAGCAGAGGCTTTTAGTGGAGTAAATGGGGACAAACTCCTTATTAATACCTTTCATTTCAGAATAAACATAGGATGAGTAGGATTCTACTAACCTTTAGACATAAATGTAACTGTAATAGTTTTATACATACGAGTTAAGTATTCAAGTTATCAGATACTTGATCAGTTTGTCTCCCACCCCTAAATTAACACATCCTCTCTAACATTGGTGCTATGAGATCACTGTTAATTTTACCAAACAAGAACTGGTTGGGCTATAACAGTGACATCAACACAGCAGAGACAAAGGTAGCAAGAAAAGTTTTCATTTAATTTGACGTGTGAATAGATTCAACATGGACCACCTTCTTGTTTTCATTTTCTTCATTCCTAGTAAGTATATTTCGTATGTAATACATATTACTTGCACCTTTAATAAACAGACAGTAAATTTTCACCTAATGGACGAAGTGTCATCATTTATAACAAAAAATGTGGTAATTATAGTGAGTGACATTAGTGTTTCCTCTGTAGTCTCTTTACTCTGACTATGAGAGATCTGCAGAGTGGAGACACTGGAAAGTACTGGTGTGTTCTGGAGACTGAGGGACAGTATGAGTCAGATGTTAAAGAAGACATTTACATCAGAGTGGAATCAGGTATTTATTACTATTACAAATAGCAATTACCGAGTATTGACTTATAATTGTATTTAGCAGTGTATTGCTTATAATTCATCCAGATATTGTTAATAATATAATAATTACTATATAATATAATAATGTAATAATTATTATATAATAAAATATATTATAAAAATATTATCATAATAATATTTTTTATAAAAACATATTATATTATTATAGAATATAATAATTTATCTGTCTTTGTGTTCAGATCCTGATCTATCTGTGGTGGAGAGCAGTGTGAGTGGTCAGGAAGGGGGCAGTGTCAGTGTCCAGTGTCTCTACCATGCTGGATATCAGAATGAACAGAAGCAGTGTTGCAGATCTAAAGACTGGAGGTGCTACACAGTGGGGAGGACCAACACATCCCAGAATTCAGCAGTGCAGATCAGAGATGATGGGAGAAGATCCTTCAGTGTGGAAATGAGTGGACTGCAGAAGAGTGATGCTGGCTGGTACTGGTGTAAAACTGGAGATTTACAGGTTCCTGTTCATCTCACTATTGGAGGGCCAAATGCAGGTACAATCACTAACACAGTGTTTGCAAAATGTCATCATTTTACTTCATCATAAATTTATTGTGATAAAAGCTTTATAATGTAATCATGACCTGTAGCATAACTGAAGTCACACAGTCTGACATGAAATATGGCCAAGTGTTTTATTTGCAGCATCTTGTGCAATGTGGCATGCAGTGGATGTGTAAGACCGCTGTATTTGCATAGTGTAAAGCAGGCTTTAGTCAGAATTATTAGGCCCAAGCACTATTCAGACAGGGTTAGTTTTACATGAGGATGTGGGCTAATATAATTCTACCAGCATTTAACAGTGATGTGTGCTCCCACATTGGTAAAGATTCCAGCACCTTTTATCTTCTATAAAACGAATCGTAGAAATAGACACTCAACTGTTTACTTGTGTTCTCTGTGGCTAAAATCAAGCCAATACATACTGTCTTACCTCATGTGCACAGCTCAGAGCATTAAAACCTAAAAACAACAGAAACAGGTTTTATGACATTATGTAGTGATGATGTCTGCTGACTGTAAATTCCAAAGCTAATGACTATGGTAATGACACACTCACTTAAGACAGCACAACAGATGATTATGACTATTGAACATCTGTAAAATAATGTTGGAAAGGACAGAGATATGGTTCAGTTATGTACAATGTTAAGAATAAAAGTTTAATTGGTGTAGAATCTTTGCATTATGTGAAGGTGCTTTAAGCTTTAAAAAAGTTCTTCACACTCGAAAAGCTTATTTACCTAAATGGCCAACCAAAAGTGTTTTTCTATGACATCACTCCAAAAAACCCTTTAGGTGCCTACTGAAGTCTACTGACTGGAGTCTACAGACTAAAATCCATAAATAATGCTTAAGTATATTTTTTTTATTATTTATTTTGTACTATTTTGGCAGGTACTAGAGATTCTGCTGTGGAACTCATGTGAGTATAAAAAAAATAAATACACAATGCCAGAGAGAATGACAGTGGTCAGGATAGGCCAGTTTTAAGTCAGTGGATGGTAATTTAGTGTAGAAGTATCTACACTTCTTGAGTTTCATGTCCTCCTGTGTAACCCACTGCATATTATCTGGAATGGATACGCCTCAATTCGTCCTCATATACATATAATTTACATGAAGCATGCCCTGATTCATTCAGATGTTTTTATAGTGATCCAAAAAATAAAAAAAAAGCAGCTCATGAGCCCATGGTTGTTCTCATAGGCTGTGTTTAGCAGTGCTCCCCCCTACTGACCAGAGCTTACATAGCTTTATAGTGTTGAAATTAGCCAACTGAAATGAATAAAATGTGAAAGTAACTAAATGTAGCTGATAAAGTAATTTGATTTGATTGACTTTATGAATAAGGCCCACTGTGAGTTTGACAACAGTGCTATATTAGCCACCAAGAGCTATAATAAATGTGAAAATTAAATAACACAGGCGTGGGCTCTGTAACTTATTCATATAATTCAGTAGTCAAAAATCACTTGTGATTAAAAAAAAATACTTCATGGTAAATCTGGAGTACTATCTCTCTGACTGCTGTCAAAATTTGCAGATGACTATAACATTATGAGAAGATAACCAACAGCATGTTCTACTTGAACCTGCATAACATCCTATCTGGCTAGTCTATATAGCTAGTCTGTGCCTCTATAGAAATATGTAATGAGAATACACTTTAGATACTTCACAGGAATGTTGCTCAATAAGAATCAGTGTTGCTCATGAAAGCGCTTCCTCTTTCAACTTCTTCCTTAATGTTAAGATGTATAAAAGAAGTAACATAAGATGTGCAACAGCAGATTTAAACAGAGATAAAACCTTCACTAAACATTATAGAATCTGTCTTTATGCTCCTCAATGCAAGACATGAAGCACTATCAACTAATTCTTTATTCCTGCTTTGTTCTCTGTTGCAGAGAGTTCTGTAATGCATGAAGCTGAATGATTCCACACATGCTGTGATCCTGGATTGAGGTATAGAGAATGAAAGCAGATGGAACGCTGTAAGCTTTTTTTATCTGAGATGAAGCAGCTTGCGTTCAGGGCAGAGCAAGAGGTGCAGCAGCAACCAAATGGCTGTATTTTGAATTATTATTTTTATATTTTTAGTAAAATGTAGTGCAGTATCTAGGCTACTCTGCTCCATGGTAT